GAAACTATTTCTGATCACTGTTCCAATGATGGAAGAATACTAGAACATAGCGAAAGTCTTTGCGGAACTATGGTTAGCTTGCCTAAGCCTTCCAGAAAATATGATAATGTTGTAAGTATTAGGAAAGCAAAGTTAGCCTGAGCATTAACATCACCCGTAAATTTTAGTGAATCTGAATATTACGCAACCTTAAAAGCCATAATGGATCTAGGTTATCGTTGGTTTCTTTATCTCTGCAATGCTTATTATACAATAAAACCCTAAAACACAACTTATTACTCTTAATTTTTTATTGATTATGCTATGCCTATATATGCATTCTGACGATCTGAACAGCTAATATATGCTCTCGTGAAGTTTCATATTATTTTATGTTGAGCTCTGAAATTCTTTTGATACATTGATTTCAGCAACTCGCTTTCGTAGCAGTTTCATTCAAAATTTCTGTATAACTAGGTCTTGATTTTTTGTTTTATTATTTGCTATGAGTTCCATTTATTCGCCAATCATTTTTTGGTTTATTCTCATCTTTTATAATAAGACTAATTTTGTTGCTTTGTATTCTGACTTTTTTATATAGAAATGTAATGTTTTATAGTAAATTGCTTGAAGCTAGAACCTACCTTGGTGTTTTCTTTCATAGCCTTTTTGAGCCCTCAAACTAGGTTCTCTTGCCATTTTGCTATGTTTACCTTGCTTAGTCTCCTCTGAATTGCGTAAATACCGAGTCGATTCCGTCATAGTACTTTCATAGTTCGGATGCCCTATTCCATCATAGGATTTACTAGCTGTACCTACGTCGTGGCCTAGCGTCGGTCCCTCACGTTCAGCTCGTTGAAGTGTAGCATTAGCACTACTTTCGCCATTGCTTCCATCTAAATTCCCCTCTTCTGTCCTAGAACTAGAATTTTGCGTCCCTCTTGTGACGAAGACTTTATTCTGGGCAACTTCGCTAGATTCGTCATCACTGATCCTCTTGGATGATGGATGAACAGGAGGCGGAAGACAGGGAGAATACGCGAGAGCGGCCCTTCGGTAAGCTTTGCAGTTTGGTACGCATCTTATTGGATATGGTGGAAGAACAGCAGCTTTCTCCGCCCCTAAATTTCGAGTGCTTGATAACGCCATTGAAAAGCGAAATTCGCGGGCCAACTCTTCACGGAATGGACGCTGAGCATAAATATAAATAAAGATACAATTATAGGATTGCAGGTTCATTTCAATTTGGGTATCCCATATTAGTCGGGATAAATTTATTTGCATGAATAACATGGAATATAGAGCAGAATAGTCTAAAACGATCTTAAACTGAAAAAAAGAAATATTTTTTAATATGATGAGAAAGAGTTTATTAGATTTACTTTACAGTTTTTATATAATTTAAACCTGCATAATGAAAAGTGGGCGGTGTAGCTTCATTTGATGGTCTCACATAGAACTGAAGGAAGTTTGCCCAGGAGTGGTAACTATTCATTTGAGTTTAAATTTTTTCGTCTAGTATTTTTGTCAAGTTT